TTCTACATGCATAGATAGACACTGTTTAGATATTCATACATGCATAGATAGACACTGTTTAGATATTCATACATGCATAGATAGACACTGTTTAGATATTCATACATGCATAGATAGACACTGTTTAGATATTCATACATGCATAGATAGACACTGTTTAGATATTCATACATGCATACGATAGACACTGTTTAGATATTCATACATGCATAGATAGACACTGTTTAGATATTCATACATGCATAGATAGACACTGTTTAGATATTCATACATGCATACGATAGACACTGTTTAGATATTCATACATGCATAGATAGACACTGTTTAGATATTCATACATGCATACGATAGACACTGTTTAGATATTCATACATGCATACGATAGACACTGTTTAGATATTCATACATGCATAGATAGACACTGTTTAGATATTCATACATGCATACGATAGACACTGTTTAGATATTCATACATGCATAGATAGACACTGTTTAGATATTCATACATGCATAGATAGACACTGTTTAGATATTCATACATGCATAGATAGACACTGTTTAGATATTCATACATGCATAGATAGACACTGTTTAGATATTCATACATGCATAGATAGACACTGTTTAGATATTCATACATGCATAGATAGACACTGTTTAGATATTCATACATGCATACGATAGACACTGTTTAGATATTCATATGGGTAATTTACACATTAAGTTATTTTTCTCGTTTGTTTAATTTACATATGCAATAGTAACTTGTAATGATGATACTCTGAACGAATACTAATAACATAAATGAAATCACTATTTGAGAGAGCAAACAAAATGTGTAATTAAAAAAAATGATTATAAATCAAATAAGTTCCATTGATGGGACAGCTATTTACCAGAAAAGGCATGTATCCCAATTCTTAGAAGAAACAGGCAATTCAGGATATGCCAGATAGCAAAAAATCAGTTCAAGTATTGCCATGACGTGTCAATTATCTGAGATATATACCTAATCTAGCAGAAATAAGTGAGCCACTAAGAAGACTGATAGAAATGTCAACTGTCTGTGTACGGGAAGTAAGCCTTTATACAGATAAAGAAGCTCATTTTTGAATCCTGAGGTACTACAATCTCTATGAAGAAGTCACAATACAATGTAATAACTCAGAGAAAGGATTAAGCGCTGCACTACTGCAGAATGTTCAGACTGTATCCTTCGCATCCAGACTACGTCATATTCTAAACAAAACTATTCTCAGATTGAAAAAAATATCTGGATATTGTGTTTGCATGTAAGAAATTCAACCAGTATATACATGACATAGAATTAATTACTGTGCACTCTGATCAAAAGAATCTTGTACCTATCTCTACTAAACCAATACACAGAGCACCAAAGAAAATACAACGCATGCCACTATTTAAAATAGTTAAAAGTTAAAATGTCTATATGCATAAAAGAATACTAGAGTCACTTAGGTGTAGATGCACGACTACGCAGTGCACAAGATGTATTATACTGAGCAGGTATGTCTTCAGAAATAAATGAAAGGCCGGTCAGTGTGGTCCCTGCAGTAAACACCAGATATATCCTTTGTTGTCGCATGCAATTCCTCCCAGGCCGTGCAAATGTGTATGACAAGATATGTTTACCTATGATTTTATTTGGTAATCGTTGTCCTAAGTAACTATTCAAAATAGCTAGACGTTTCGAGCAATGGCTCTTTATCGACAGCATAGAAGAACATGTTTTTTTTATTCATTACTTGAAACGTGTACTGTGCTGTACTGTCTTAATTTATTGAGACAAAGCTGTTGGTTGTGTTCACTTGAAGTTAAATAAACGGTTTTATAACTGAAAATTTGGTTTTGGAAACAGGCTTGTAACGTACCAGGCGTGTTCAATTAAACACTTTGTAATTTGATCCCAAGGAACGTTTTGTGACTAACACTTTACATCATGGTTTCTCTACATCTATAGATATAATATCAAGGGAACAGTCATGAACAGTGACCTGTGATGCAGTATTTATTACTTTATTCACACATGTTTGTGTTCTCAGCTTTGACTTTCAATAGTGCAATTATTTTAACCGTGTCCACTCAGATAACTCATGTGACTGTGATATGGAAAATCTACTGCTCAGTACATCTGATGAGTCAAGCATTGATTCTACAGACAGTGAATCGGATCATACTAAATGTAGTGAGTCAAATGACACTAACATTATTAACTCGCCTCAAGGCAGTTTGAGGCGAATATAAGTTTTACTCTACTGAGCGTTGCATATATTTGCAATGCATCATGGGAGAACACATTCCATTGTATATACTAGTAATAGAAAACTATCACCCTGGAAACTCATTTAATTATATATTTTGAAGTGTTTTTGAACTCAGTAACCTAAAACCTAGTAACCTAAAACAAATGTGAAGGATATTAGCTCTACCATATCCTGAACTCCATAGGGACCTTAAACTGTGTTCTCCTTGAATGCGTTTCTCGGCTGGCCCGGTTTATAATGGAACAACCGAGGATTATTCTATGGTGTGACTGGTACCAAGCCCCCACTCGAAGTCAGCTGTTGTATAATCTGGCAATCGAATCTCCATTTTCCCGCTTCATACATGGCAAACATATATGGACCAGTCATGGTGTCGACGCGTTCCTCGTTTTTATGTCTGGAGATCACTGACTTTTTACTGGGGGTTTCTTGATATCTGTGATCGTGGTTTTTTGAGGTTTTGAACATGGAATTTTCTAAATACATGGAGGTGTATTTTAATTTGGGCTGAAGGCAGTTCTAGTTTCTATGGCAACCGTTGGTATTCTATATTTGAGCTGCCTTTTTGTAGATGTAAAAAAGTGACACACTGAATTACCTTGTGCATATCATTTACGCCAGTCTGTATTGTACTTAAAATAAGTTGGTAGCGGCATTGTAGACTAGTGTATTCTTGGAGAAGAAACCTTATTAGAATATGTACGTGACTGTTTGATATACTGGATTTTTTCATATTTGCTCTGTAAAAAGTGTAACATGGGTTCTCTATAACCGGTAGCGTAATTGCAATCACAGTCTCGCGCATGCGCACTGTGAATTATTACTAACGGTCGTTGGCACCATACATTTCCATATCAGCGCCCGATGATTTGCAGGCATCATGAAACGGGAACGTGTTGTCTTAGTTATTATCACGGCAGTTGGTTTTTGTTTTCTCTTATTCATAATATGTGTTATTGTTGTCGTCAATGAAGCACATTCAAGACATATTTCTTGGGACGGTGAAGAGAGTGTAACTATAAAAGCGGCTCAGAGTGAGGTTAATGATCAGGTGAGTAGACATAACGTGCATAATATTGAATTACATAATTGGTTATCTGCCAAGCGTTGTTATATCTACATTAAGCGGACTTATTGTATATAGAATTATTGTATAATCACATAGTATCAACAAACACAGTTGCAGAGATGCGTCCTTCTGTTTAGATAAATCATATTATGTTATTAAGTTTTTC